CCCCCCCCCCCCCAAAAAAAAAAACTGGGTCGAGTCACCTTAATGGACGTGTTTTCCTATTTTGTAAGCTATAAAAGTTATCATAAAAAGGGCCGAACTCTTGATTTTAAACGCCGAATGGTCAAGGAACTTTCAGAGCTACTGCTAACAATAAATCATAGTTTTTCTACGTTGATGCAAACTATACATAAACAATTATGTGAAATAAACAACTAAGATCATCGCAGTTGTAGACGCAACTGCAAAAGTTGCGTCTACAACTGCGATGATCTTCTTTCATATAATTCTTCACCCCGCAGTTCTCATATATGATTTTCAAATATTTTGATAACTTACGTAAACAATTTCACTCAGTTAACGGAACTGAAATTTCTCATATGAAAACATGAAGAAAGCCTAAGTCGCTTTTACCTCGGCTAATCCCCGTATTTAAACATTGCGAGCATTTATGTGTAGGCATATATAGTGAGGAGCGAGAGAAACATGGCGCTGATTAAAACAACACACCATACCGCAGCCTTCTCAAAAATCCTGTTATAATCATTTTAGGATATCTTTTTAGATTTTTTTAAAGCTTTGCAAATGCTTTCTAAGAAGCACTATAAGATTTTTAACTGTTTTGTAATTCTAGAGCTTCTTAGTCTATTCGAATTTAATACCTCCTTATTACTGTTCCAAAAATCTTAAATGCTTTTGTATAGTTTACTGAAAACTCAACATTTTGCGATACCTCTGTCCGTTACTGTTTCCAAGGCCAAAAATTTTAGTAGTCCTTTTTTAGGAATGATGATCAAACCTGGGAAATGAAAGGTGAAAAACGAACTTCAGAAAATGGTAGAAAAATTAATGGACTTAAAGCTTCAAAAAACTGACACGTCTATGGAAATTTTTTATCTTGCATTTTTTTAATTTCTCGAGCTATAGAAATTTCCAGGCAATTCTGTACCTCTTCGAATAGCTTTTTTACGGAAAAAATTCAACCGTTGCGCCGGTCCCTACCACATGTTTGAAAAGGTCAAAAAGTCCTATGAATGTCCTAAACAGTGTTCTTTTAGTAGGACTTTGCTTTAAAAATATGCGG